AACATCAGTGTTTCAGTGATGAAAGCACGGATGAATATCACATTCTGTATCAACAGCACGTTCTTGAAAAGTGATTCCATGTCGAACGAAAGCATTAATTTATCCTTCAGGTTTAGGTTTTCTATTCGGTTGACAAAATCAAACGTGTCTTTGACCGTATGAATGGACAATTCATTGCGAACCGTTGCCAACCAATCGGTTGTCCACTTTGAAACAGAGTGAAAAGCGAAAGTAGACCTGCCCACTATTGCTCGCATTGGGAACGTGTGTTTTGTGAACTTTTGGCAAACAGTAGACTGGCGGAGGGTGTGAGAGGCATGGCGTCAGCTTTGAGATTAGTGTAGCATCTATGTACTTTGATGATTTTATTTCTTTCAAAATGTTAATGATCTTTGCTTCCTGTTGCGAAGTGGTCTCTTTTTGGACTGCGTCTCGTCGGAATTTGTTAGTATTGCCCAGAATTGTTGTTAGTGGCCAAGAAATTTCCAGCCGCCAAGCTATCACTACTTGCCGAAACAAGACCATTGATTCTTCAGCGCTTAAAGGATAAACTCCCGCTTCAGTCTGAATTATTTGTCTTATATCAGTTCACTTGCACCTGTTGTGTTAGCTTTCTTATACCTACGATCAGGAGTTTATCCAAAAGAATCGCTGAACATTATCCTGAGTCAACACGAAAAGGTACAGTGAAATCCATCAACCGTTTCGTTTTACGACACTTGGTTGACACTGGACGTCAAGTGCAGATGAACTAGTCGTTTAAAGTCGTTTCTGCTATCCCTAAACGTTACCCAAAACAGCTTATGAAACATCTGTTGATCTTTTTGAAGAATAGAAGAAGAATACGAAGTGTATCTTCTTGTCTGCAATAGACTGAATCCGAGAGGGTTAGATCAAAATGTTCGGAAGCATCATACGCATGAGATATTCAGGTGTTATCTTCAGGTGATTTGTAATGGATTCCAACCGGGTAGATGACAGCGCCCGCAATGTGAGTGCTAGGTTGCAGTTTGTCTCCTGTGTGAGTTCGCGTTTTCCAACCACGATCCAGCTTACAGAAGCACATTTTCATTTTCTTCCTCCAGATGTTCAAAGCAGCCAGGCCCATCTCCCGATAAATGTGTAAATAGATCAGGAGAATTATGTTAAACGGGGACAAATAAAACAAATGAATACAGTAGTAAAAGGCAAAACATCGTAAGAATAAACATAAATTTATATGTTAAGCAAAATATAATGCAGCTGGATAAAGCAATTCTTTAGGCATCCACAGGATACTCAGGACGCCATTCATAAATTAAACCAGTGAGTGACCTTGAAGGAAGACCGAATGAATTGGGATACCAGCCTAAAGTGCTTTCGAGGGCGAAAAAGGGGCAAAAGTAAAAAGGAACACACCCAACGCAGCAAACAGGCGGGGCTCTAGCTTACAATGATGAAATGAATGTGATATCCACAACAGTTTGCAAGTTACGAAATATGCGAATAACGCCCTACGTTAATTTTCGCCAAAATTGCGGTTTTGCTTTCCAAGTAAACTATTGCAATCTTCCGAAATCAGAGCTGTGCAAACAGCGCACGTTGCTACAGACTGAAATTGCCTTGGCTTGAGTTTGACGTATGATTTGCCTTGATCACATGCTTCCTAATGAGACAGTCTGATCAAACCATTAATTTCTTTTTCATACTGCCTGGTTAATGCGTTGGTTGTTTTCTGTACAAGCCTCTACGAGGTTTATTCTCTCCACTTTTTTGTTTCCGTACTGACCGAAATCGCAATATTCAGTTAACTTCCGAAGCACGGCAACGGAGGAAGCCTCTGACTCCCTCTCATCTTGGACTCAGGTTATGAATTTAAATCGCTTCACAATTACTGATGGTTTTGGCTTATAATGATTGGAAACCAGTGTGACCAGTTCAGTAAATTGCTTGGTGTGTGGCAAATCGGGAGTCACCAAGCTGCGAATAAACTCGTATGTTTGTGAGCCACAGATACTCGGTAGAATATTCACTTTGCGGTTGTCGCTGACGATTTCATTAGCAGAGAAAAATACAGTTCATACGCTCGATGTAATGGTTATAGGAGCCGGATCCTGCAGTGTATGCTTCCAATTTTCCGATGGAGGCCAGGGGTTCGATAAGCCGTCGGCAATATTGTAAGAACACGGAAACGCATAGGACACAGCTGTAATGTGTACACACGATCAAGTCCCTGGTTCGCTTGATAACATGTCACGTGCATGGCCAGGCAGACCATGGCTCGTGCTAACCAATCACAACACACGCAGGCTCGGAACGCATGGACGGCATAGATCTTCCGCCAAACGCTTTCGGTGTACTGGTTCGGAATTTCCTGGGCTGATCCACGCAATCAAATTTAGCCTCGAAATCTGGTAAGCAACAAGTCGGACTGTTGCGACGTTCGTTCGGACAAATGGACGTCTTTATTTTCTAACAGATGATCGGTGCTTATGTTCGCTCCCATGTCTTAAAGGCAATTCAAGCCTGGCAGCCATGGCTGAAACACGCTCTCAATGAGCTGGAGCTGTCTCAGCGGCGAGTTTTCAATTCGATTATTGCAATGCGCTATCTCTCATACGAGTAGAGGCTAATACGTTTCGGAGTATTCAGTGGACGATATTGTTGATCAAGAGGCGACCTGATAACGGTCTCCTTGATTCTGCACGGTCCACCTAATGTTTGCCAGTCCTTACTGCAAGTCAGAGATAATGCAAATCTGAAAACTCACTCATTGAATCTAACAGAAATGTACGGTCGTCTGGAGTGTCGCAGCGATTTCTTTTCTAATCGCATATGTCACCCTTAGAAGGCTCTCTCTAAGCTACTGGTTTCGGCACAAGCACTAACAATATTTAAAAGACGGTTTCCTGACCCATTCCTCTACTTACATTTTGTTAACAATATTTCTCCATTCTAATCCTGGAATTTTCTTTGTATTTATTAACTTTCACTTGTTTCTGCAGTGGAATCACGCATGGTGCAGGACTGAAGAAGGCATCAACGGTACGCTGGACGCAGTACTGTCGCTTCGTTGCCTCGCAAACACCACCAGTCGCATGGGAGCTAAGGATAATGCGATGGCAGTCCACTCCCTACGCAGGATCAAAACCGCGCCCTAGGATTACAAGGTAGACTTGTGGTCCTTAAGGCCACGAGTCTCACATAGGGCAGAACTACAACACTACAAACGAAAACTCCTTGCTTTGATACTTAACTCATTAGCTATATTTTATTAACCGTTTCCATAACCCCAACAGACCATTCAGCGGGAGTTGTAAAGCATTTCTTCTTAGTCCCTAGCAACTCCTTGTTCATTGTTCCAATTGTTAGAGGAACGAAACTTCATCGATCGTTGATGCAAGCTGCCCTAGCCAGATTTGTATATCTACCGCATTCGAATGGATTTCAATCTGCGATTCAGTGCGTACTTAGGTAGGTTCACTATTTAACTTCCACTCAAATGGTGAGCACCTTTGAATTTCGATTATTTTGTTACACTCCTTTATCCCCTGTTCCCTCTAAAACCCGATTTCCTCTTAGGACAGAATACTCCGATTGCGGCATCCGTCGTTGTCTCACTAGGGTCAGTGGATGGAAGCAGTCACGGAGCCCAGCACAGTAATAAAAACACTGTTACTGGTTGAGCTATGGGCTTGGGCACTGCCAACTGTAAAATACAAGAGACTGCTGGTCCTTGAAAACGAATGGTGTTTGATACCCGTTCATACCCGATGGACGTGCCGAGCTAGAAATACAGAATCCAACTCAAAGGTGCTTGCCATCCCTTGCCATCCCTTTTCTGAGCTGCTCTGCGGGTACTTGGTACAGTGCAGGGTTTTCTGGCGAACGGCGCCCAATTTCCGGTACCACTGGTCAAATTCGCCGTTAAGTTTAATACGAATCGCGGTCCAGACTGAAACTGAGTGTCGCTATCCGTTCATACAGCCAGTAGTTTATAATGACCCATCCAATCCCTTGATCAACCAGGTTTCAATTCATTGGGGTCGGTGTAGTGAAGCCCCACAATTGTTAATCTGTGATGCGGTTAAAGTTTTTGAAAAATTCCATCATTTGCTATAAATTAGAGATTGGAGACCCTGATTCACATGAGGTTGTAGGTAAATCCATGGCATACTTGCGTCTGGTTATTAAACGTCCAAACCAACAAGCAAGTAGTTTCGAACTCCATGGCCCCATCTGATTGCATGCTAAGAATCTTTGTTTCACCTACGTCTTTCTGATATTTTACTTCTGTGAATCTGGCATTTCAACCAGCGGACTTAACACTTCAGCGATCCGTTCATTTATACTTATCCTAGTCAAAATGAGTGTTATTGGCAGTTAACCAAAGTAAACTAGTAACCTACCGATGCTTCCGAAATACGCGAGAATAATAACCAATGAGCGTTGTGTATTCTTGCTTAAACCACGTACTTCCTCCCATTCGGACAAGTTGTGTTCGAGCCATTCTGATTAACAAAATCACAAACGAAGACCCTGTCATCGTAAGTTACCAGGTACGTGGATTATTATTCTTATCGTTATTGCTATTGTTTCCCTTATTATTATTGTGATTGGCAACATAGGACACGCAACTTGCATTTCCCTCAGCAGCCACATTGAATTATGTAACAAGAATGCTAGGGTCGGAACTACCATGTAGTTACCAGATAGGCCATTAAATAGAGAAATTAGAATAAAGCATCACCCCGGAATGAAACGTTAAAGGTGGCTTAAGCAATATGTACGTTCAGTACTCGTTGATTCGTCATATTACACTTTTAAGCCAAAGCAAACATATTCTGTAGGTGAGATACAACACATCCGGATTCACTTCGTTGTGCCCAAAGTAGACAATTATGACTCCCCTAACACAAAGCTGCATGCTGACTCATTTCCCAATGGGATGATTTTGTACTCCACCAATGGCAATGAACCTGGTCCTATAACCCTATCGCGATGTCCAGACTGCACAGGCCACGGGTCGGGTGGCCATGGCAGCAAGTGACCTCATGATTTTCGGCCGCTACAATTGGTGGATTGCATTGACACCGGATTGGCTGTTGGGTCGAATGAAACTGACAATCGGTTATGCCTATGGTCACCACGTTAGTTCCCTGGATGTTTACCGCTGTGGACGCCGCATACTGGGGATTTGTTAGTGCGCTTCGTTAGCTCAATTTTCCTCTAAACCTAGCTGGTAAGTCGCGTTCCATGCCAATGTATTCCTTTTCCGTACATTAGCAAAGTACTTTTCTGCCTTGATAACCGAATCAATGGCATCTGCCTATAGGTTCTGTTTAATTCGGACTACTTTCCAATTTGTGTTTAAGAAAATATTTTACTTGATCCTCAATCCGCTGTTCGGATGTCTACGGCTTGATACTGTCCGATAAATTTAATGTAAATCTAACATTAATATTTTCACGTAGTTCATACTCAGTCTGACTTTTGTTTATTGGCACCAATGAAAAACATCACCAGTAAAGCTTGTTTCAGTCATTCCGCTTACAGTAGTCTAATACCAATTAGTACTTGACAGGGATTCGCCTATTTCCGGTCTGCTCTTGATGGCAAACTCTAACATGCCGTATTAACTACATTAAAATTTGACCACCTCTATATCCTGACCATCTGTTTAAGTTGACTGTTATTTTCTTCATTGCTTTAACCACCATGTAAGCCTTATGGATCTAGACCTCTTTCGTGACCACATCTATTTGCTGAACACTTTAGACATGAGACTTCATGTGTCGTCAACTTACGGAGGTTGTACAGAAACTATCATAAAGCCGTTGTCAGCGACCCGGTTTCGCCCTCATCTACCGACTTGTTCTAACTTCCAATTCCAAGTAACCATCTCTCCGATCTTATACGCAGAATGTCTGGTAACGTGGCATCAGCGATGGCATCGGATGATTGTATCCGCCGATGATACCGTGCAGTCTTAACGCCGATGCCCCCCTACCTGACCGCGTTCCGGATTGGGGTTTGCCTTAGTAGTCTTTCGGTCTCGAATCGACAATCCCATTATGCGCGTGATTTCTATACTAACTGTCTCATAACTCGGCCGCACACGCGCCGCGGATGGGATTGTACGATGGAATTATACGCACACGTTTGGGCGCGGTCCCACAATGATTGTTTACTCGGTTGCCACATCCGCATCACAACGGTTACGCCATCATCACACGTGATCATTTCAACCCTCATCTCCCCACCCACCTAGTCCTTCATCAAGGTGATGTTTGGGTTAGTAAGTAGCTAGACCCAAATGCCCACGGAGGGAGTGAATAAACAAGGCGATAATGCGATTGATCGGCTGCAGCAGATGTCATATCGGCTAAGGCGCAGCCAGTAAAATTTCTGTATTCGCTTTTTCACTTTTGACGTCTCTCATCTGCTGTTTTATTTCTTGTCCACTTCTACTAAAACATTATTACTTGTTGATATAACTACGTTTTATGGACCTGAGTCAAGGTAACTGAATCCACTGTACCGCATAACGCGTGTCATAAATGATCAGCCGAAGTGGTTACGCATGTGTGTGTTATACGGATTCAACAAGGGAACTCCAATACATGTGATGATTTTAGAAACCAACGATAATCTGGAACCGGCGGTCTCACGGCTATTAGCCACATGAGGAAATGTAGCCCACAACTTATCTGAATAACGTTTCCAGACTTGTTTTCCTCTCCTGCTGCCTACCGTATACTTGTGGTTAATCATATATTGACTCTGGTTACGCGATTCTCTTATTAGTTTCATATCCGTAAATAATTTACTTCGTGGCGACTCGGATCAAGAATGCTAGATCCACCACGCCTCTCCAAACTAAACTGAATGACGACTTGTTTTTATCAAGTCCTAACGACACGGGCACCAGTGTGATGGATGCACGTCAGTCTTGGACAGTGCATGCACATTTTAAATTCCACGCATTGACCCTTCCGATGTGACACAACAGCTTAGGTTTGTTTGAATGTGCGATTGTTGCTACGCCATCGACGACGTTTCATGCCCTTGTAAAGATGCCAGTTTGGTCAGGTCCATTCATCTGCAGATGGGCAGTCCCGCATGAGTTGTATGCAGGTCCCCAGGTTGTCTTATCCACCCGTTCACCTTTTCCTCAGAACTGGTGCGCTTGCATGGGTGACTTCTGATAGCCCGAAATAGCTTATCGTCCTCCTAACTGGCGGGATTCAAGGGGTCGTCTTACTTTAGGTGGTAAGGATTTTGAATTCACTATCATCCACCTTATGGCCGCTTGTGTGGGCCTTCATTAACCACCCGCGTAATCTCTGATTCCCCCAACTTGTTAATTTTGCGAAACAGCACTTGTGTGGCCATATGTTGGTGTGTACTGTTGTGCTGTGTGCTCCATGCTGAGGCTGATGTTGCGTTCTTGATGTTTCTTCACTGCAGTTGGGCTAAACCAACTTACACTTAAACTAGGTCTTTTTAAGCTGGATACATTTCACTCCACTTCATTTGGTTTTTTCTGCCTACCTGAATAATATACAATTAACTGGCCACGTTGCTTACGCTAATTGCACTATCTTCGATGACTAGCGTTTGTAGTATTTTTAAGTAACTTGTAGTCATTCTTTCCTTATCGCGGATTCGTTGCTAACCAACTTACTTCATAGGCTAATTTAGAGAAGAGTTGTACCGTCTTATCTGTAGGCATTATTCGATTTAATTCATTTTGTCGTTTCAAGTGATTGACTGTTGCTTGATATCCCCAGTGTGGCTGCGCTTGATGTGCATGTTGACAAGGTGCCTACCTGTCTATTACCCACTACCTCGTCCATACTGGCTCCAGAAGACAGTTGGTCGTTGCTGGAGGGGATGGAATGCACGGTCCTTGTGGCCGTGCTAGGCTCGAAGTGTGGTTCCATGCACTCAGTGTGGAGCGGACTACGGTCCAGCCACCGTCTTGTGTGCAGTTGGTTCCCCAAATACAGCGTGCTTGTGTTTGCCTGTGAAGGAGTGTAGGCCGTCTCCGTTGACGAAACTTGGCTCCCATCCACATGCCTCCCGGTCTTATTCCTTCGGGTTTACACTGGATATGGGGTGTGTGGATGGAGCTGTGGGTGGTGCAGCGCAAGCCACCCATGGTCCCTCTGTAGGCGCAGGCGTCCTGTGGCTGGCCACAGTGACATGCAAATCCGTAACCGGATGCCGCCAACCAATGCTGTGCTGTAGATTGCTCCATAATGTAGATAGGAATTTTACGACGCGCCAAGTCATTTAAAATATCAGCTTTTGTTGCTTATGCCAAGTATGAACATTGCCCATTAATGTAGTGGCCTGGTAGGCTTACTGCACCACTCGATAGTGTTCTAGACCTCGATAAACTTGAAGCGTTCACTGTGGTCGGGGCACATGTGACTACCCTTAGACCATTTGTTTAGACAATTTTAGTTCATCAAACTATGTCTGGTCGAATGGACTCCCGGGAATTGTGTTGATAAACTGCCACCAAATCAAAGCAACTTTGTCTGGTCGGTCTGAATGCATACGTCCTTTACCAGGTACCAACTTGATGTGGTGCAGCAATGGAATCTATACAGCCTGTGTTTGTTTTTCTATTGCTAATCTCATAATGTTTCCGATTGCGCAACGTTCGCAATCCAGCTTCCATAGGGTACCACCGTGCGTTTAAACTTATCCGAAAATATTGACCACAGTTTGGACGAAAGTGTCATCACCACTAGCGAATTGAGTAGTCGTGATCCTCAACTATCGCAATCGTGCCGAGAATTACCTCTGGTAGAGTCGTCTTCTCGATCATTTTCTACTCCTACTGCTGCTGTCAACCAATTTATATGCGGTTAGATCAAATTTCCTGTATTTCAGTTTATATCGTTGTTCCTTCTTCTGGTTTCCATACCCCTAGATTGTTCGTACAGTAAAAAATTAAGAACTAGCCAGTGTTCCTAGTGTGGTCCACCCATTTTTCTGTCGTCTTCACACTTCATAGCCACTTCCAGTCGATGACTCAGAGGCGATGAGTCAGGCTAGCGAAATACTCGGTTCTTCCTTTCCCATTCCCAAGCATAAACAAATTTGCATTTGTCCAGTGTACCACCGTCGGACCAACTTCGACCTTGACCCCATAACCAGTTGTTCTGACCTCTACGCGCGTGGCCAGCGGACTGAAGTTCCGGTTTTCGGAAGTCGATTGCCACACCCTTACAATTGGCTTTCGCTGCTCCCTCGTCAGATATTGTTGTAAAAGCTGGCGGGTTTTCATTCTGCCCGTTGAAATGTGGTCATAGTGAAGCAGACGGATATTGGGTGTTGCACACACGAAAACACTGCATTGCTTCAAAATGATCCCTTCAGTAAGTTAGTGAAGTTCCCGTGGTTGCAGTCCCTTAGGAATGGTCGATTGATCCAACTCGACAACCAAATACATGGTCAGGCGAGGCACTTAAAAGCCTTCTTTAGCGACTGTAACATGAAACAACCTGCTCAAACTATGAGACAAATTGCGACTAAGTGTTGGGTTAAAAGACTTTTCGGCAGAACACTGTGCGTTTGACTTCCCAAGTGTCCACCAAAGCGGCAACGCGTTACAACTATTTGTATTGAAAAGTTCACGTCCAGTTTCCTTTTAATGAAAAATGACGTGCTTCCGGGGCACTGCTTTCCATGACTCTTGGTTGAATAATACACTAGGATACTTAATCTAAACAAGTACTGCCGTCCCTGTAGCCGATGGGTTGGAATTCCATCACTGAAATGTGAGATTTTTGGGATTATTTATATGAAAAGTTTGACGGTCTAGAATCTCCGCTCGGATTTCTGCCGATGTAGACTAGGCGCGCAGTCTACAATGTATAGTATTCCCTTAAGTGGTTGATACCACACCACTTAGGCTGCTCCGAGTGATAATCCGGTTCGGGTGGATAAAAATGTGTTCACTTTATTGTTGCTCTCTACCAGTGCCGTCAAATTCCCGTCGCAGCTGACACACGCAAGTTACGGACAGGCGCAAGTGCGCTCAGTGTTGTCGATCCACTTCACAGGTGATGAATCAAGTGTGCGATAACTGCATTCCCTCCTGCTACTCCTCTGACCACCGTCCTGATTAGCCGTGATAGCGAAACCATTTGTGAGTTAAAATAGACTGGCTGTCCAGACAAAGTCACTTCTCGGGGAAACGGCGATTCTATCCGCTTAATTTGC